ACAATTGTAATCTATGACTGTATCAATGATTCAGTATGTATTTTCAATAATGTTTAAATTATGTAATATTTATGATTCTGATTATCTGCTTATTGATTTGTATGCGAGTGCAGTGCACTTGCGGAGAGACTCCGCCCACACGCTCTTCTGATTGGCTGTGATTTTTGATTGATTTTGTCTGGTGTGGACAGACAAATTGGTTGTTGCTGGAGATTTGTTGCATCACGTCTGGTTTGTACACGGTGTAATAGCTCTAATGAACATCAGTGATTCAGAGAAGTCATTAAAGGGATCATAAAATTGTATCAGAACATCTTGTAACTTACCAAACTCTTTCTGGATGTCCTCTTCCAGATCATCCAGGACCGTGTGTTTCAGCACAACGGCCGCAGCACGCTAATGTGGAACCGGCTGCCGGGAGGACTCTTCACCCTGCCACAATACTCCTCATATCTGGGCGACTTCCCCTTCTTCTACGCCGAACTCGGTAAGTGTGACTGAACACCCACTGGCTCCACCTGCTTCAGTAGCCACGCCCCAAACTCTCCTCCTGCTACAGTAGCCACGCCCCAAACTCTCCGCCTGCTACAGTAGCCACGCCCCAAACTCTCCTCCTGCTACAGTAGCCACGCCCCAAACTCTCCTCCTGCTACAGTAGCCACGCCCCAAACTCTCCTCCTGCTACAGTAGCCACGCCCCAGACTCTCCTCCTGCTACAGTAGCCACGCCCCAGACTCTCCACCTGCTTCAGTAGCCACGCCCCAAACTCTCCGCCTGCTACAGTAGCCACGCCCCAAACTCTCCTCCTGCTACAGTAGCCACGCCCCAGACTCTCCACCTGCTTCAGTAGCCACGCCCCAAACTCTCCTCCTGCTACAGTAGCCACGCCCCAAACTCTCCGCCTGCTACAGTAGCCACGCCCCAAACTCTCCGCCTGCTACAGTAGCCACGCCCCAAACTCTCCTCCTGCTACAGTAGCCACGCCCCAAACTCTCCTCCTGCTACAGTAGCCACGCCCCAAACTCTCCTCCTGCTACAGTAGCCACTCCCCAAACTCTACACCTGCTACAGTAGCCACGCCCCAGACTCTCCTCCTGCTACAGTAGCCACGCCCCAGACTCTCCACCTGCTTCAGTAGCCACGCCCCAAACTCTCCGCCTGCTACAGTAGCCACTCCCCAAACTCTACACCTGCTACAGTAGCCACTCCCCAAACTCTCCGCCTGCTACAGTAGCCACGCCCCAAACTCTCCACCTGCTTCAGTAGCCATGCCCCAAACTCTCCGCCTGCTACAGTAGCCACTCCCCAAACTCTCCGCCTGCTACAGTAGCCACGCCCCAGACTCTCACCTGCTACAGTAGCCACTCCCCAAACTCTCCACCTGCTTCAGTAGCCACGCCCCAAACTCTCCGCCTGCTACAGTAGCCACGCCCCAAACTCTCCGCCTGCTACAGTAGCCACTCCCCAAACTCTCCGCCTGCTACAGTAGCCACGCCCCAGACTCTCCTCCTGCTTCAGTAGCCACGCCCCAAACTCTCCGCCTGCTACAGTAGCCACGCCCCAGACTCTCCTCCTGCTTCAGTAGCCTCTCCCCAAACTCTCCACCTGCTACAGTAGCCACGCCCCAGACTCTCCTCCTGCTTCAGTAGCCTCTCCCCAAACTCTCCACCTGCTACAGTAGCCACTCCCCAAACTCTCCGCCTGCTACAGTAGCCACGCCCCAAACTCTCCGCCTGCTACAGTAGCCACGCCCCAGACTCTCACCTGCTACAGTAGCCACTCCCCAAACTCTCCACCTGCTTCAGTAGCCACGCCCCAAACTCTCCACCTGCTTCAGTAGCCACTCCCCAAACTCTCCACCTGCTTCAGTAGCCAAGCCCCAAACTCTCCACATGCTACAGTAGCCACTCCCCAAACTCTCCACCTGCTTCAGTAGCCACGCCCCAAACTCTCCACCTGCTACAGTAGCCACTCCCCAAACTCTCCACCTGCTACAGTAGCCACTCCCCAAACTCTCCACCTGCTTCAGTAGCCACTCCCCAAACTCTCCACCTGCTTCAGTAGCCACGCCCCAAACTCTCCGCCTGCTACAGTAGCCACGCCCCAAACTCTCCGCCTGCTACAGTAGCCACTCCCCAAACTCTCCGCCTGCTACAGTAGCCACGCCCCAAACTCTCCTCCTGCTACAGTAGCCACGCCCCAGACTCTCCTCCTGCTTCAGTAGCCACGCCCCAGACTCTCCTCCTGCTACAGTAGCCACTCCCCAAACTCTCCTCCTGCTTCAGTAGCCACTCCCCAAACTTTCCACCTGCTACAGTAGCCACTCCCCAAACTCTCCTCCTGCTTCAGTAGCCACTCCCCAAACTTTCCACCTGCTACAGTAGCCACTCCCCAAACTCTCCTCCTGCTACAGTAGCCACTCCCCAAACTCTCCTCCTGCTTCAGTAGCCACTCCCCAAACTCTCCCCCTGCTTCAGTAGCCACTCCCCAAACTTTCCACCTGCTACAGTAGCCACTCCCCAAACTCTCCTCCTGCTTCAGTAGCCACTCCCCAAACTTTCCACCTGCTACAGTAGCCACTCCCCAAACTCTCCTCCTGCTACAGTAGCCACTCCCCAAACTCTCCACCTGCTACAGTAGCCACTCCCCAAACTCTCCCCCTGCTACAGTAGCCACTCCCCAAACTCTCCACCTGCTACAGTAGCCACTCCCCAAACTCTCCACCTGCTACAGTAGCCACTCCCCAAACTCTCCTCCTGCTACAGTAGCCACGCCCCAAACTCTCCTCCTGTTCTGATGGTGTCTGGAAGGCTCAATGTTTACTCTTTTGCAGGAGATAAACTCATGCATACTAATATTAGTCAATGAACAATAGAATGTATTTTAACAAAATATCTTACATCACCTTTAACAACATATTAAATCTACTCTATGGAGTCAGTGTTTTATATATATGAATTGTCTAATTAAATATATTGATCTTCTTCTGCACAGGTATTAAACCACAGCAGAAATTCACCGCCGTCATTCACGCAGTGACGCCTCTCGTGTCTCAGTCTCAACCGGTTTTCAAGTTGCTAGTGGCTGTGGCCAAATCACAGTACTGTGCCCAGGTCAGTTATTTATATTCTATTCAATTATTTATTAATACTATTTTAGCATTTATTAATATTTTAAATTAGTTTTTATATATACTTAGAGTTTCCATTTTATTTTGAGGCTAAATTTGAGTGATTTTGTTATGTGCTTTTGTCATTTTTAAAAATTATATATATTTAGCTTTCATTTATATTTATTTCAGTTTTTGTGTTGTTAATTTTCGTTCTTCAACTTAAACTTGTTTATTTCAGTTTTATTAGTTCTGGAAACAACAAATAGCTCAGCAGCTGTTGCATAAAAACCACATTATGGATACATTTCCATAAAAGCAAATATCAGGCTTTTAGAAATATGCTCTGGTCAAGCTCATACGATATTCAAGATATTATAAGAGCATATAAGAGTTATTTTTGCTATTTTGGTATCAGAGAACTCATCAGATCCATACTTACAGATGTTTTATGCTGCTGTTGTTTGTTTTCCCTCCAAAATGAGGTCATTTCCTAGAATGTGATGTCACTGAGGAACTGGCAATTGTTATTTAAAGACATTTTGACAGAAGACTAACAGGATGGGATGTTGTTCCCAAAAGCATTACATTCACAAAGTAGAGAAATCTAACTGTGATATTGTGAGAACATTTATTTATTAAGTGCTATTCAAAAAATTTCTTTTGGAAAGAAATTAAAGTGATCCAAATTAACAGAAAAAGACTTTAACATGTTACAAAAAAATTCTGATGAATGCTGTTCTTTTCATCTGATAATAATCATAAATGTTTCTTGAGCATCAGATCCTCATATTAGAGTGATTTCTGAAGGATCATGTGACACTGAAGACTGGAGTAATGATGCTGAAAATTCAGCTTTTGAATAAATTACATTTTACTATATATGCACATAGAAAACAACTATTTTAAATTGCAATAATATTTCACTGTTTTTACAGTGTTTTTGATTAAATAAATGCAGCCGTGGGGAGCTCTTTCAAAAACATTAAAGAATCTTCCCGACCTCAAACCTTTGTACAGTGGTGTAAATGATATAAAAACGTAATTAATAGTAGAAATGACCTTGTATCAGATCATTGTCCTGTGGAACTGTGACAAGCCTCTTCCCGCGAAGCACCGCTGGCCCGTGACTTCGGTTCCAGTCGTCGTAATCGAGGGCGAGAGCAAGGTGAATCTCCACTTCAACCTGTCTTTATATTCTCATCTTATCAAATAAAGTGTGTGGTTTTACTCGCCTGCGATGATGACACATGATGGATGGCGTATAGATGTGTTTGCTCTCTGCCTTGAATGCATTTTCTGGAGGAGGTTTCACGTGTTTGACTGCGTTTAGGTGATGAGCAGCCGATTCCTGCCCTATGACACCATGAGAACCGATGCAGTGTTGAGTCTGGATGAAGACACTGTGCTCTCGACCACTGAGGTGAGTCTGCGGCCTACAACAAAGACGTTAGATATGCAAAGACGGTGCACTCATAGTCCTATGAATGGGAGAAAGTGCAACACGCAAAATGGCGGAATAAGATTCTAAGTGCTTATTTTTTGTGAATTTTGGGTCAAGCATTTTATTTCAGAAAGTGTTTACATTTCATTTGTTCTTATTAAATTGTAGTATCAGCATTATAGGAATAGTTCACCAAAAAATGGAAATTTCCGGATTATTTACTCAACCCCCAAGGCCATGACTCCAAATCAAATTAAAGTCCCCCTGTAGTCAATCATATCATCCCTTAAAACTCATCTTTGATCAACAAAATGGCATAAACGGTTTTTCCTTGAAAATAATTTCTTCATGCCTTAAAATATCTTGAATGTAACTCGACACCCTTGCCTCATTTAGTATACGCGGAGGTTCTATGAATATGCAAATGAGCCCCGCCTCCACTCACTCACTCAGCTCAGAGATCCACTGGTTGACGATCACACGTTGATCTGATTGGTTACAAGGTCGTTTGTGACGTCAGAAACACCAGCGATTTCAAACCGTGTTTTTGAGACTGTTCACTGCAGTTTTAAGGAGGATATACTCAGCAATGCGGTCGACTTATGAACTTACACATGGTTTAAGCGTATTAAAAACACCACATAGACACATAAACAACATTAAAATCTGGATATTCATCACAGGGGGACTTTAAGGTTTTGGAGGAAAACATTCCAGGATTTTTCTCCATCTAATGCAAGTGAATGGTGTCCAGCGTAGACCATTTTTGGCAGTCCAAAATCCAAATGCAATATTTTTCATTGTTAGTTAATCTGAACTTATTGTAAAATGTTTGCATGTTCAGTAGGCCCTATGTACTCATAGTGTACTCATTCCCACAGGTGGATTTTGCCTTTACTGTTTGGCAAAGTTTCCCAGAGAGGATTGTGGGATACCCTGCGCGTAGCCATTTCTGGGACTCTAACAAGGAGCGTTGGGGATACACTTCCAAGTGGACCAATGATTACTCCATGGTGCTGACCGGAGCGGCTTTCTACCACAGGTCCGTCCAATAACTAACTTACAAACCATATCTCACTGCCATTACAACTGCAGTGGAAGGTAATGATTTGAAACACTCTCCATGAGCAGCAACAAAATACTCCACGCACAAAAATACTAGGGATGCGCGATATATCGGCCACCATATCGGTATCGGCCGAAATATGATCAGTTTTAATGTTACCGTTATCGGCCCGACAAGAAAATTTAGCCGATATATTAAAGCCGATAAATAATGGATTATTTCCTTCAGCTGAGACTCTTCAGATGCGCAACTGTTCAACATGATGCTTTTAAATTGCTTGAAATATGATTGAAATCACTTCCAAAAGGAAAATCCAGTTAAAGTGCAACATGTGCAGCGCAAATCTGTCATATCGGCTACATAACATCATAATTGTGTTTGTATCTTGGCTTTTAATGGGGAGACTTTTGTTTTTGTAATCAGGCTCTCAAAAATTATATAGAAATTTGGATTTAGATTTATCGGCCAATATATCGGTTATCGGCTTTCAAATATAAAGAATTATCGGTATCGGACAAAATTGTCATATCGGTGCATCCCTTAAAAAATACACATCAGCAAAAGTCAAAAATAAACTTTATCCTGTCTACTATCCCTCTAGCGAATAAAAATGTGCTTTTATTCCAAACGCTATTAAAATTCTCAACTCCACAAGTGACCGATAAACCAAATGATAGTGGCATGAACTGTATTTTTATATTTATGTAATGTGAATCTTTTAGTTGTTGTTGTTGTTGTTGTTTTAACTACTGTCTGTAAAGTTATTTTATGTGCTGGTGAGCCAAAGACAATTTTCCACCTTGGTGGACAATAAAGAAATACAATAACAATAGTGTGTGAAACAGGGAGAGCCAAAATGGCGGCCAGACGACTGGAGTTTAGAACAGAGCATTTGTGTATTGTTAGTGATTCATCGTTAGCCCTATTCGGACGGTACTACATAACTAGTACTACATAATCAATATGCACTGTCCTATCCAAATAAAAAAATGAAATGAAACGACCCCATGAGAAACAATTACCGTCCGAATAGGGCTAAATTTGACTGTTTTTTTTTGTTTAATGCGGCATCTTTTTCTAATCCAGGTATTATAACTACTTGTACACACACTACCTGCCCGGCAGCCTAAAGACTATGGTTGACCAGCTCTCGAACTGTGAAGACATCCTCATGAACTTCCTGGTGTCTGCTGTCACTAAGATGCCGCCGATCAAGGTCACGCAAAAGAAACAGTACAAGGAGACGATGATGGGACAGGTACAAAATCTGTGTAATTCTGTTTAAATGATGTGTGATCGGACATTATGGAGTACTAGTGCAGTCCCCGTGCAAAATCTGTTTTTGTGTGTGTTTTTAGCAATTGTTGGTTTGGTGTGTTTGAGTGCTCATTGTTATAATTACACAGCAAAAGTTCAGTGACATTTTTTATTTGTAGCTGACTTCATGTGTAGCTGACCGAGTGTTTATGTCAAAATGTTTATTTTTTTAAACCACAACCTTCGAAACATCTTCAATGTGTGTGCTTTTACAGATATATTTACCGATATCTTTTGCATTTCTAATCCAAACAACGTCAAACTCGGCACTGCACTTACTCGCGCCCGTAGCAAGACACCCGTCAAGTTTGAAACTAACAATTCGAAAGATATGCGAATTACAGACACACACACACACAGACGTTCCTGTAATTTATACATAGATGTCTCTCACTTCACAGAAACCCATCTAGAGAGTGCACACACACACTACGTGATGTAGTCTAGTAGGTTACACTAGTGCGCTTGAGCATTAGACTATTAAAATGCATTTATAATGCCCTCAATATTCAAGATAAGGGGCAAAAATACCTCTGTGTGTCTATTATATTTATATCATTTAATATTGTTAATCAATATCATACGTTTTTTTTCTCTAAATATAAGCATGATTACAAATGATTACAAACATTTCAATAAACAAGAAGTTAATAGGGTTATTAGTCTAACCTCAGACACAATATTGCCTGTTTTTGCTCTATTTCGCCAACGGAAATCGTTCCAAACAAAGACATAGGACTGTTTTGTGTCTCTGAACACACGGAGGTGATTCATTCCTGAATGAATGAATCAGTTGAATGAATGATTCAATGACTCACTCATTAAGAGAGTCAAATGCTTCGTTCCTGAATGAATCAGAATCGGTTGAAACTCAACGACTCGCTCATTAACACTGACATTTCACAATTAAAGTATTTTTTCACTTTTTAAATCATTTCAAAATATCAATACTCAACGTTTTATGTTTAAAAAAAAAAATCTAAATATTATTTCTGCATTTGTAACTGCTGGTTAAACACATTCACGTCCCTCTGATGTGCATTAAACGGTCTGTGTAAACGCATCGAAACGCCACTTCAGATGCACTGATTTCAAGTGATTAGTAAACAGCCCTATTGTGTCTTATTATTGTAATTGAATAATTAGAATTAATTGCATACATAAAAATTGGCTTTATAAAGGTAAAAATGCCCATAAAAGGTCCAAATCCATTTAAACTTTTTGGGAAAAAAGATGATTTCTGTCACTTCTGTGAACTGACCATCACACAGAATATGAAGAATATTAAAGACTTTAGTAGTCATGTCCACGACAGTCCTAAACCTGACAAGGCACCAACACACTCAGCAAAATATCATCTAATTATCATTATCAATATAATTTTTCATCATTATCGCACATCCCTAGCTCCGTCATGCGTGAGATGCTGCAATAGACGTACAGGTATATAATGTAAAGTTCTTGAAAATACTTCTTTACTTACCAGTGACTCATATTTTTTGTGGGTGATTAACCCTTAAAGACCTAGACCATTTTTGGAGCACCTGCACCGCCTGTTCTTTTTGTTTTTCTAACCCATTATAGCAGTCAGCATCAAGTGCCATATATCATTTTAAACAGGAGAACTTGAAGTTTCAATCTATCTCATTTAAATAATCCAATTTTAGATTTATTTTGTCTTAGAATGGATGAATTTACAAGATTTAAGAAAAACGGCAGCATATTTTCAGTGATTTTTTTTTTTACTCAACTCAAACAAATCCTCCTGAAGTTTGTTTTTTTTCCTTTAGAAAGCTGTACTTGGATATTCTACATTTCCAGATGTAATTTTGACTACATGTAACAATCCCTAAGCAAGTTATAGCCATTTATTACAACATTATTATAGGCGATTTTCAGTGAAAAGCTGATATTTTTATTTACTGACAATTTAGATGTGTCCAAAAAAGTTCAGGAAGTAAAATAAATAGAATGATTGTAATAGAACACTGAAGCACTAAGCATCAACAATCATTCATGATTGGCTCAGAGGAACAAACCGCACGGGTTTCTTTGACGAATCAATGCTGATCAAAACTTGATGACGCAATCACATTCACTACGGAGCTTCTGAATGTCCAAACGGGAATAACCCGATATCACAGAAAAGCCGTGAATCTCCTCTTTATGGGACTTTTTAAAGTATACGGATTGGAGTAACGGTTCAAAAGTTCTTAAACATTTAAGAACAACAGTTATTCTTTGCCGCCGGCAGCCGTATAGGTCTTTAAGGATTAACTGGACGCAAATGGACTTTTCATTAGGGAAAATATGACGCCATGTGACCTCTTTTTTGTACTTTCATTGATTTGTATTTGAGTTCTTCTCCCCTGAGATATGTTTGACCAATAAATGGGTGTCTCATTTTAATAAAAATATACCTGGAGGCAACACCGCACCATAGAGGGTTAAAGACATCCGTTTACATTGAGAAAGCAGCTAACCGACTCTCTCTCCTCCTCAGACGTCCCGGGCGTCTCGTTGGGCCGACCCGGACCACTTTGCCCAGCGGCAGACGTGCATGAACAAATTTGCCAGCTGGTTTGGCACGATGCCCCTGGTCCATTCGCAGATGAGACTGGATCCCGTTCTGTTCAAGGACCAGGTATCGATTCTGCGCAAGAAGTACAGAGACATCGAGCGACTCTGACAAATCCGAGAAACGCCTTCCCCGTGATGGGAAACGCCTCAGTATCCTGATAAACCTGATCGCCGGGGGCACGGAAACCCTCCGGGAGGGAGCGCATGGAGACGGAGGGGGGGAGTGTTGTGTTCGAAGAAGATTCGTCTCTAACTACAAATATATGGAATCAAAAAGCTCAATCGGAGACCGCATGGACGTTATTTGGCATTCGGATGAGTTTCACACAACACAAAGACACAAAGCTTTCTGTCTTCCACACCCCCTCTTGTAATGCTTTGCCAATGACAGCGGTGACCATGGCAACCTCGCCACACACACACACACACACACAGATCCGCTATTGCACATGGGTTTACTCTGGATCATGTCAGATGTGGGTTTTGCTGAGGTCGCCTGTATATTTATTCAGTTCACCTTCCGCTTCTCCGGCAAGCGTTACGCCCCTCTTGTAAACGCAGGATGACGTCCCGTGGGGAAGTCGAGCGTGTGCGGAAACCCGCACACAACGTCACAGTGCCTGAACTTTCAGATGGACCATATCTGGGAGTCCGAAGGGGTTTTGTATGAATGCATAAACACCTTGTTCATGCTGCTTATGTTTGGATTCAGTTTAGGTGTTCCACTTATTGGCCCAAAGGTTTCGTTTTTTTCTTTCTGTACAAGCCTTTTTGTGTATTTTTTTCAAACGGACATAATTGTACTATTGTTTTGAAGATTAACACCATGTCCTAATCAGACGCGATGCGATAACATTTCAGAGACAAGCAATTTGTCTGTCCACACTAGACAAAAAAAAAAAACTCAAAAAGTCAATCAGAAGAGAGTGTGGGCGGAGTCTCTCTACTCACAACAAAATCAATCACAAATCACAGCCAATCAGAAGAGTGTGTGGGCGGAGTCTCTCTACTCACAACCAAATCAATTACAAATCACAGCCAATCAGAAGAGAGTGTGGGCGGAGTCTCTCTACTCACAACCAAATCAATTACAAATCACAGCCAATCAGAAGAGTGTGTGGGCGGAGTCTCTCTACTCACAACCAAATCAATTACAAATCACAGCCAATCAGAAGAGAGTGTGGCCGGAGTCTCTCTACTCACAACCAAATCAATTACAAATCACAGCCAATCAGAAGAGAGTGTGGGCGGAGTCTCTCTACTCACAACCAAATCAATTACAAATCACAGCCAATCAGAAGAGAGTGTGGGCAGAGTCTCTCTACTCACAACCATACAATTACAAATCACAGCCAATCAGAAGAGAGTGTGGGTGGAGTCTCTCTACTCACAACCAAATCAATCACAAATCACAGCCAATCAGAAGAGAGTGTGGGCGGAGTCTCTCTACTCACAACCAAATCAATCACAAATCACAGCCAATCAGAAGAGTGTGTGGGCGGAGTCTCTCTACTCACAACCAAATCAATTACAAATCACAGCCAATCAGAAGAGAGTGTGGGCGGAGTCTCTCTACTCACAACCAAATCAATTACAAATCACAGCCAATCAGAAGAGAGTGTGGGCGGAGTCTCTCTACTCACAACCAAATCAATTACAAATCACACCCAATCAGAAGAGAGTGTGGGCGGAGTCTCTCTACTCACAACCAAATCAATTACAAATCACAGCCAATCAGAAGAGTGTGTGGGCGGAGTCTCTCTACTCACAACCAAATCAATCACAAATCACAGCCAATCAGAAGAGAGTGTGGGTGGAGTCTCTCTACTCACAACCAAATCAATCACAAGTCACAGCCAATCAGAAGAGTGTGTGGGCGGAGTCTCTCTACTCACAACCAAATCAATTACAAATCACAGCCAATCAGAAGAGTGTGTGGGTGGAGTCTCTCTACTCACAACCAAATCAATTACAAATCACAGCCAATCAGAAGAGAGTGTGGGCGGAGTCTCTCTACTCACAACCAAATCAATTACAAATCACAGCCAATCAGAAGAGAGTGTGGGCGGAGTCTCTCTACTCACAACCAAATCAATTACAAATCACAGCCAATCAGAAGAGTGTGTGGGCGGAGTCTCTCTACTCACAACCAAATCAATCACAAATCACAGCCAATCAGAAGAGAGTGTGGGTGGAGTCTCTCTACTCACAACCAAATCAATTACAAATCACAGCCAATCAGAAGAGAGTGTGGCCGGAGTCTCTCTACTCACAACCAAATCAATTACAAATCACAGCCAATCAGAAGAGAGTGTGGGCGGAGTCTCTCTACTCACAACCAAATCAATTACAAATCACAGCCAATCAGAAGAGAGTGTGGGCAGAGTCTCTCTACTCACAACCATACAATTACAAATCACAGCCAATCAGAAGAGAGTGTGGGTGGAGTCTCTCTACTCACAACCAAATCAATCACAAATCACAGCCAATCAGAAGAGAGTGTGGGCGGAGTCTCTCTACTCACAACCAAATCAATCACAAATCACAGCCAATCAGAAGAGTGTGTGGGCGGAGTCTCTCTACTCACAACCAAATCAATTACAAATCACAGCCAATCAGAAGAGAGTGTGGGCGGAGTCTCTCTACTCACAACCAAATCAATTACAAATCACAGCCAATCAGAAGAGAGTGTGGGCGGAGTCTCTCTACTCACAACCAAATCAATTACAAATCACAGCCAATCAGAAGAGAGTGTGGGCGGAGTCTCTCTACTCACAACCAAATCAATTACAAATCACAGCCAATCAGAAGAGTGTGTGGGCGGAGTCTCTCTACTCACAACCAAATCAATCACAAATCACAGCCAATCAGAAGAGAGTGTGGGTGGAGTCTCTCTACTCACAACCAAATCAATCACAAGTCACAGCCAATCAGAAGAGTGTGTGGGCGGAGTCTCTCTACTCACAACCAAATCAATTACAAATCACAGCCAATCAGAAGAGTGTGTGGGTGGAGTCTCTCTACTCACAACCAAATCAATTACAAATCACAGCCAATCAGAAGAGAGTGTGGGCGGAGTCTCTCTACTCACAACCAAATCAATTACAAATCACAGCCAATCAGAAGAGAGTGTGGGCGGAGTCTCTCTACTCACAACCAAATCAATCACAAATCACAGCCAATCAGAAGAGTGTGTGGGCGGAGTCTCTACTCACAACCAAATCAATTACAAATCACAGCCAATCAGAAGAGAGTGTGGGCGGAGTCTCTCTGCAAGTGCACTGCACTCACAACCAAATCAATCACAAATCACAGCCAATCAGAAGAGAGTGTGGGCGGAGTCTCTCTGCAAGCGCACTGCACTCACAACCAAATGAACTAGTACATAATCAAATTCATAATTATTACACCATTAAAACATTTAAAAACATACGGAGTGACTGACACTTTGAAAACTTTGTCATAGAATACACTTGTTTGCTCACAGTTCCCTTCAAGATCTGAGGTGAATTATCAATTGTCGTTTTTAGTACGGCTACAAAACTCACGCAAAATGATATTCAAACTCATATTAACTTAATTTAACATTAAATAAAGCACATAACCAGCACCTGAGATTATCATTATCAGATTGTATGTTGTTGTTCCAGCCGCATCACGTCTGCTCAGGACACGGTGTTAAATCCACCGGCACAAACAACTCGTTCTCGGTCTTATAGCGTAATGCCATATCAGCGGCCATGTTCACACTGCAGCTAATTCAGATGTCACTCCACTTCTGACCGCTTGATCTTGTTCTGAATTTGTTTATTTGAAAGTGACATGCATGTTACATCTCAGTTCAGACAACCGCTTTTACGAATCAATCTAACTAGTAACTAGTAGTTAATGCAGTGACATCACTTTTGCAGTGACTAAAAACCCCCTAAATCGGTTTACGCGGAAATCTCTGAACGTTAACACATTGTTTGCTTTCTTTAAAACCCCAAACATGACGGATGTTGTCAGTCACGAGACACCCAGTGTTGTTTCAGTGTTTACGTGGCTAGTATGTATTTCTAGAATCACACACTCAATGACTCGAGTCGACGTAATTTTAAAGTGATATTTAACACTAGTGTTTGCATTTACTCTCAATGTTGTAGACGGAAGAAAAAAGCGAGCAAATCGATGAAACAACTGATAATGCTTGATTAGGACATCCGTTCAGAGCGTCAGGTCGAGTTTTGAGGACGTCTTCCATTGATTTTCTGTTAAGAAAGAGATATTAACTCTTTATCGCTCGCGTTCTTCTCGGATTGAATGGATGGAGCTGGTTATCCCAGAGGAGACTGAGGCAAAAGCCACAAAATCATTCACTTCAGTCAGGATAGATGACATATTTAATGCTTTGTGAATGCAAACAAGGCAATAAAAATGACATGACTGCACTGAACGATCTTCGTCCTTGAAATTAAATATGGCGTCTACCCTGACTTAATGTCCCTACAATTACAAAAAAGTACTTTTGTAAGAACATTCTCCCTATCGGAGACAACAGCTAAATGTTAAACATTGGGGATGATGGGATGGACCATGAGATGATAGAAATCTGTGAGCTGGTAATGAGTTTGCTTGAGGTCAGAATTATTAGGAAAATATGAGCAAACCAGGCTGTGGAAAATAAATCTGCGTTGTTTATCCTTTTGATGAAAAAGTAAAAAAATCTAACCTTTCTTTGAAGCAAAACAATTGAAAATGGAGGCAAAATTACATTTTATGGTTGTTTCCTGACAGGTTTCCTCATTCAAACACTCCTCATCTTCTATTGTTCAAGTAAATGGACAAAAGTCGTTAACTCTGTCCCTGCTTTACATGTGTTTACACTGCTGTACGGTAGGGTTGAGAGTACAGAGTCACTGGATCAAAACGCATGCAAAAAAGAAGCAGAAATAAGTGATAAAAGCATTGCTTATGCATGTTGTAGTCTCAGCTTTTTGTTCAAAATTAAATGAAATCTAGCATTAAGCTAGAATATATATATATTTTTTTTGTTATTTCTTTTGAGTGCATGTTCAGATATTCATACAGGTGAAACTCGAAAAATTAGAATATCGTGCAAAAGTTCATTTATTTCAGTAATTCAACTTAAAAGGTGAAACTAATA